GGGGAAGTGGGGAAGGAACAGTAGTACTGTAGTAGCCATTACCCCAGCACTTGTTTTTTTTTGTTCGGGTCGCTAGTCTCTGACATGTATCTGTCCGTCTTTCTGCATGTGTGAGGGAGATAAGGAACGAGGAGGAGAAAACTGGGTGAACCTTTTTACCATACCTTGGCTCTTTTTCCTTTCTGTTCTGCAACATGCGAATGTGCTAAAAATAGTATGCCAACGTGCCATCGCCATTCGTAAAGGATTTTCTCCATTTGAATCAACTAGAGAAAGGTAGGGAAGTTAAGGACAACAGGACCGTTTTCTAATTCAAGGAACTTGCCGAAAATGTCTTGGTGGAACTGGTTTATCCACTCTCTTTTGAAGAATGTTCCCGGAAGTATCCCTCTGCGGAAGCGGCTTAGTGCGTACTTTCTTGAAATTGGCAGGTGGTTTGTTGATTTCATGATTTGTTTGTCGGTTCCTTTCCTCTCTCTTCTGACTCATTTACCATCTGCGTCTATATCTGTTTACAGGTCAGCAGATGCTTTATGGCCAGATGAAATCCTTCTTGTCGTTGTAAATATAGCTTTTCTCCGAATCGGCGTTTGCCTCCCTGCTACTACTTTTCTGGAGGGAGAGCAGAAGGAAGGAAGGGAAATTTTAGTTAATGATATAATGATGATAATGGAGTTGCGCGAGATTTGCGGGGCTGGAGTTCTCGCTTTGAGTTGCTGCTGATGTCCATCCACGTTGCGTGCGAGGAGTTGCGAGAGGCAGCTCCTCCTCTAACATCTGTGGCGGCGGAGGGGCGATTGACATTGCCGGGTCGGCCATCCGTCTCTTTCCCGATTTTGTGGGAGAGTGAGAGTATGGGTTGCATGCTTCTCCTTCCTCACTTGCATTGGCCATCGTTAACCATTTCGATTGGCCAGAAGATGCGTCGACCAGATAACCCCTGCTGATATTCTTGTCGACTTGTGTGCACAGGACTTCTTCACGCTTTTGACGGAGACTGTCATTGTGACGATGACAGTTCCTCTTTGCGCCTCTCGCTTTGTCCGGACGTTCACGTTGTGGCAAGCGGGTTCGACTAGTCGCAGTCGTTAGCCAGACAGTGTGAAGACTCCCTCCCATCGAACACGACGTGGGGGACTTATGATTCACGTCTGAACACTCGGCGATAGGCGCAAGGACAACTCCCATCACATTCACAAGGTGTATATAGATAGTGTAGGCAAGGGACGTAAAGAAGATTTAGGACCAGTCTACCGCGGCGGTGGCACTTGTTGTGCTTCTAGTCCGTGCTTCTTGTCGAGCTTGTGAGGTCTGTGGCAGCTGGAGTAAAAAGTCAAGACCGGCACCGACACACACATTGCAGGGTACCAAGATTGTCTGTCCAAGGAAGTCGACCTGGCGTGACCCTTTTTTTCTCCGTTTTTTTTCTCTATTGCTTCAGCACTTCTTGTCGAGCTTCTGCTGAGGTCCTGTGACATCTGCAAGGCGTGACTTCCTCAGCAACCAAGTTTGTGTATTTGAGGACGACGATTTGGATTGAACTTGTTTCCTGTTTGCCATATCGTTTCGCCCGCTGCAGACAGAGTGCGCTTGTGCCTGACTGTCAAGATGGCAACCCTCCGGCATCTGCTGAGCGGGCTCTCGTTTGCCGGTACGGCCGCCGGGGGGGCAGTTCTGTGTGGACAGCCGACAGTTGCGCTCGCTGAGAGGGATGATAAAAAAGATAAGCAGAAGGATGATGAATCCAAGGGTGGAGGAGGGGGGGATAGGAGGAAGGACACAGCAGTTGGATTTGATCCGGAGGCCCTCGAGCGTGGTGCGAAGGCTCTGAGGGAGATGAATGCTTCACCGCACTCGAAGAAAGTGTTCGAGTTGATGCGCAAGCAGGAAGACACGCGTCAGACAGAGGAGAAAGCGAAGATCGCAGAGTTTCAAGCCCTCCAGGCTCAGCGGGAGATAGAGAAACAGAAGGTCTTGTATGAGGAGCAGCGCAAGACCATGCAGCAACAGGCGCAGACAAAGGCACAACTGGCGAGGTACGAGGACGAACTTGCGCGGAAGCGAATGCAGGCGGATCATGAAGCTCAGCGAGCTCGGAATGCTGAGTTGGTGAAGATGCAAGAGGAATCGGCGCAAAAGCAAGAGGCTATTCGTCGAATGACGGAGGAACAGATCCAGCAGCAACGACGTGCCACGGAGAGGGAAAAGGCCGAGCTGGAACGGGAGACCCTGCGAATGAAGGCAATGGCTGATGCAGAAGCACGTGCCCATGAGGCGAGGCTCAGCGAGGACATTAATCGGAGGCGGCTTATCGAAAAAGCGAATTTGGAAAAAGACAAATGGATAGCCGCCATCAATACGACCTTCAGTCATATTGGTGGAGGTGTGAAGGACCTGTTGACCGACCGCGATAAATTGGTTGTGACCGTTGCTGGGGGAACGGCGCTTGCGGCAGGCATCTACACAACCAGAGAAGGTGCAAGGGTGGTCTGGGGCTATATTGAGCGCATCCTCGGGCAACCAAGCTTGATAAGGGAGTCATCTAGGGGTAAGTTTCCGTGGTCAGGGTTAAAGCGGGCAAAGTCCGGCACCAGTTCGCTCATGACGGAGGCAGCAACATCAACGGAGAGCTCGTCAACTGCGACTACGAATCCCGCGAATGGGGTCTTGAAGACCGAGGATGCGTTTGGGGAAGTCATCCTTCATCCTGCTCTGTTAAAGCGAGTGAAGCAGTTGGCAGTAGCGACAGCCAATACCCGACGACACAGTGCGCCCTTCAGGAACATCCTGTTCTATGGGCCGCCGGGAACCGGCAAAACCATGGCGGCAAAGCACCTCGCAACGACCTCTGGATTGGAGTATGCGATGATGACAGGTGGAGACGTGGCACCACTTGGACCTGCAGCTGTGACGAAGATTCATGACCTGTTTGATTGGGCGAACAAAACACGAAAGGGGCTTCTGCTGTTCATCGACGAGGCCGACGCCTTCCTGTGCGAGCGCAACAATACTCGAATGAGCGAGGCGCAGCGGAGTGCTTTGAATGCCTTGTTATATCGAACCGGTGACCAGTCGAGGGATATCGTACTGGTATTGGCAACTAACAGGCCTGAAGACTTGGACACGGCAATCGCTGATCGTATGGACGAAGCCCTAGAGTTTCCACTCCCTGGGTGGGAAGAAAGGGAGAAGTTGATACGACTGTATTTGACTAAGTATGTTTTGAATGCACCTAGTGGTAGGATGAGCGGCGGCAAAATTCGGTCGCTGCTGTGGGGTGCTACACAGAATAAGATTGAGGTTAAGGGGATAACCCCAGAGGTGATTAGGGAAGCGGCCGAGAAAACGGAGGGGTTTTCAGGCCGAATGCTGGCGAAGATGATGGCGAGTGTGCAGGGCGCAGTGTATGGGAGCTTGAGCAGCGTTCTTGATGCTCATCTCTTCCGCGAGGTGGTCGACTACAAGGTTGCCGAATTTAAACAGAGGCGGCAATTGGCTCAGCATTGAGAAGGGGTGGGTGCAAGTCTCGCTCGGAGTCTTTGCATTCATGAGAAGTTTTGGTGTTGGCTTGCGTTGATTGTGTTGAGGTAGAGGAGTGCAGGGTAGTAAGGCACTGGCTTGTGTAAACGAGGAGAAGCAAAGGGAAGGGGCCTGGCAAGTCGAAAATCACAAAGTGTAGCAGGAAGGAAAGGGATGGTATATGACAGTTTGGATGCGTTTTGGGAAGTGGATGGAAGGAAGAAGGAACATGCGAGATTGATAGTCAACTAAGTATTAGAATTGCAATTCCTTTTGTTGAGGGTGTGGTCTAACCACACACACACACATAAAGGGAGGAGTTACACGGAGAGAGAGAGAGAGAGAGAGAGAGAGAGAGAGAGAGAGAGAGAGAGAGAGAGAGAGAGAG